GAGATATAATTCAAGGCCAAGATTAATCCACATACATGCTACAGATTCCAAAAGCTGACGTCCAAATTCCCGAACAAGATCCACAGGAAATGGGCAGTATCTATTTCTCTTTAGAAAATCATATAAACTTGGTCCAAAATATGCAACAGCCACCATCATTCAATCCCAAAAAACATGGATCAGCTGAAAGGATCAGCACCTCAGAAACAGGCAGCTTTCAAACCACCCCAGCAGCAAAGAAATCCATTGCATCCTAGAACCCCAAGCTGGAACCAAGAAATTAGATGAAATAGCCCAAGTGGCATGAACAGTGTAAGACTAATGTATTCAGTAAGAATACTGTAGGCGAAGGAGTTTAAATACAACAAAAAAAATTCCTACATGGACCACTGTCAAGAGACTTATGTTTGTGAGTGTAAAATCTACACCAATAATGATTTTGGTACAAGTGGTACCTTATCCTTTACCATCAGCAACATCTACACCTATAACAACTACTGCTATCTGAGGCACTCTGGACCATATACATAACACAAATAACATAATAGTTAACAGTGCACTGTGCAAGTAGTTAACAGTGCAGAACCATATTTTTTTTTTTTAAAGAAAATGAAAAATATGAAATATATGAAAGGAATAATTACAAGAAGCAAAGAACCAACAAGCAACAAAAGGGGACCAAACCAGAAATGACTTTAATCCTGCAAGACAAGAAGAAAGGGGAGAAGAAATCTTCATGGAGGGAGGAGGACCCATCAACAACCTAAAAGACGAGAAACGGCTGAAAACCAGCTGAGGGTCCAACTGGACAACAAAATGACCAGCTGAACAGTCAGCTGGAACCAGGCAAGGCAGGCAGCAACAAGCGGGGCAACTGAGGGCAGGCAAAAACAGTAGAAACATCCCCAGGAGCATGCCAGAAGAGAGCCCCCAGCTGACCCCCAGGTAGGAGGGGGCAATTGAAAGATCATAAATGAAAGTATAGTACATCCAACCCAAAAAGGAAAACCTCAGCTGAGATAAACCAAGAGACAAAAGGTAGAAGAGGAAGGGGAGCAACCCAATAATATCTAGCTGAAGGAGCATCATCTGACTTGAATGCATCGGAAAAAGTGAACAACGAAGTCCAAAGGTCAGGAAGAGAGACAGAGAGGATCGCCCAAGAAAGATAACCCCTCCTCTCCTAATGGTGTTGTTCCTGATGATGCAGCAGCTTTGCCTTGAATGGCATCCAATGGAAACAGAGGAAACACAAGAGAACCAGAAGCCCAAGCAGAAACAGTAGAAGAGGCGCNTGGACAAAAAGAACATGCTAAAAAACAAATCCCAAAAAATTGATCAGAAAAGGAAAAGAATACAGAAATCGAGATATAATTCAAGGCCAAGATTAATCCACATACATGCTACAGATTCCAAAAGCTGACGTCCAAATTCTCGAACAAGATCCACAGGGAATGGGCAGTATCTATTTCTCTTTAGAAAATCATATAAACTTGGTTCAAAATATGCAGCAGCCACCATCATTCAATCCCAAAAAACATGGATCAGCTGAGAGGATCAGCACCTCAGAAACAAGCAGCTTTCAAACCACCCCAACAGCAAAGAAATCCATTGCATCCTAGAACCCCAAGCTGGAACCAAGAAATTAGATGAAATAGCCCAAGTGGCGTGAACAGTGTAAGACTAATGTATTCAGTAAGAATACTGTAGGGGAAGGGGTTTAAATACAACAAAAAAAATTCCTACATGGACCACTGTCAAGAGACTTATGTTTGTGAGTGTAAAATCTACACCTATAATGCTTTGGGTACAAGTGGTACCTTATCCTTTACCATCAGCAACATCTACACCTATAACAATTGCTGTTATCTGAGGCACTCTAGACCATATACATAACACAAATAACATAATANTGGTACAAGTGGTACCTTATCCTTTACCATCAGCAACATCTACACCTATAACAACTACTGCTATCTGAGGCACTCTGGACCATATACATAACACAAATAACATAATAGTTAACAGTGCACTGTGCAAGTAGTTAACAGTGCAGAACCATATTTTTTTTTTTTAAAGAAAATGAAAAATATGAAATATATGAAAGGAATAATTACAAGAAGCAAAGAACCAACAAGCAACAAAAGGGGATCAAACCAGAAATGACTTTAATCCTGCAAGACAAGAAGAAAGGGGAGAAGAAATCTTCATGGAGGGAGGAGGACCCATCAACAACCTAAAAGACGAGAAACGGATGAAAACCAGCTGAGGTTCCAACTGGACAACAAAATGACCAGCTGAACAGTCAGCTGGAACCAGGCGAGGCAGGCAGCAACAANGAAGAAATCTTCATGGAGGGAGGAGGACCCATCAACAACCTAAAAGACGAGAAACGGCTGAAAACCAGCTGAGGGTCCAACTGGACAACAAAATGACCAGCTGAACAGTCAGCTGGAACCAGGCAAGGCAGGCAGCAACAAGCGGGGCAACTGAGGGCAGGCAAAAACAGTAGAAACATCCCCAGGAGCATGCCAGAAGAGAGCCCCCAGCTGACCCCCAGCTAGGAGGGGGCAATNCAGGCAAAAACAGTAGAAACATCCCCAGGAGCATGCCAGAAGAGAGCCCCCAGCTGACCCCCAGGTAGGAGGGGGCAATTGAAAGATCATAAATGAAAGTATAGTACATCCAACCCAAAAAGGAAAACCTCAGCTGAGATAAACCAAGAGACAAAAGGTAGAAGAGGAAGGGGAGCAACCCAATAATATCTAGCTGAAGGAGCATCATCTGACTTGAATGCATCGGAAAAAGTGAACAACGAAGTCCAAAGGTCAGAAAGAGAGACAGAGAGGATCGCCCAAGAAAGATAACCCCTCCTCTCCTAATGGTGCTGTTCCTGATGATGCAACAGCTTTGNAATGCATCGGAAAAAGTGAACAACGAAGTCCAAAGGTCAGGAAGAGAGACAGAGAGGGTCGCCCAAGAAAGATAACCCCTCCTCTCCTAATGGTGTTGTTCCTGATGATGCAACAACTTTACNCAGCTTTGCTTTGAATGGCATCCAATGGAAATAGAGGAAACACAAGAGAACCAGAAGCCCAAGCAGAAACAGTAGAAGAGGCGCAGAACCAGCAGAAGACACCATCCCCTTCCCCATTCTGATAAACCACAGAGAACTTTCAAATTTACACAAACTTCTTTTGAATGCAAATGTACACATGAGTTTCCCTCTTATAATGAAAAGGAACAATTGAATCTGATTCACCATGATAGGAACACAGAAAAGAATAGCGTCACATAGCATAGCAGAGAACACCACGCAGCACACCCAATCCCATAAGCATAAATAAATAGCAGAAGCATCCATCACAAAGAATATGTATCAATAAATAAAGATGAGCAGAAATGGAAAGGCAGAAAGAATATGTATCATTAAATCCAATCCAATCAAACACTAACTTGCAAAATTCAGTTTAGCGGAACATCATCTTGTCATGATAAAATAAGAAAAAAAAATTCATATACCTGAGAAAGAGCTTCCTACCTAAGCTCTTGTAACATTCAAGTTAAAAAAATTCACATGAAAACAAAAATTGAACACAAAGAGACATATTAAAAAAGCCCCAAGTTCAATAATGAAATGTAAATCAAAAATTAAAATTCATTATAATTTATTTTAACAATCCATTACACAAGGGGTAAAAAGATCAAATAGTATTTCAAATTCTGTGAAACATGTGTTTCTTGATTACCATGCTAATGGTAACTGAGATGTTGGACAGTGAGAAAACCAAAGAATTGCTTTACCTCTTAGACAAATCAAAATCCTTGGTGGATTCACCCACGGCTCCTTCCAGCTCTTTTATTCATAGTTTCAGCTCTTTTACCAACTTGACATTCTGATGAAGTTGAACAACAATATTTTACATAGAATGTAATTAGACCGAAATCGAAAATTGTAGTAAGCATCAACCTGCTTAGATGCCCGCAGTTCATCAACAGTTTTCTTCAGTTGTTCATAGTCATGCTTTGCTCTTTCTCGATGGTCTGAGAGAAAGAGGATGAAGGCTTCGAGTTTGATCAGGGCTTGTGGCTTAACTGTCGATTTCTCAGCTCCAGTATTACTGCATATGTTGAAAAATTTCTCCTGGGAAACTTTCAAGTTAACTTTATCAAAATAACATTAAATTAATAACTTTGAAACATCTTCGTTGGTTGATTCAGATCACAATAACCGCGAGTTAGTTAAAATTTATGAACAATAAAAAGATTAAGTGACACTGTTTTCACACAAGCAACCAACGAACCTAACTAGTTCAAAGTAGATCTTCAAGTCACTTGATTAAAGCATAATTTGGACAAAGTAGTATCCTAAATTCCTAATTAAAATTACAAATTTAATTCAATTAGGTTTACATGTGTTGATATTTGTCAATTAGGTGTGTGTGCTGTGAGTGTGTAACTTGCAAATTGAGTGAGTGTGTTATGTGTGTGTCAGATTGAGACACGAAGAGAGACTAAGAGATGGGGAAATAGAGGAAAGAAGAAAGATTGAATGGACTGAGATTCATGAATCGTGAATCCCGGCTCTATGTGTGTGTGTGAGAGAGAGAGAGAGAGAGAGAGAAGAGAAAAGAAGAGAAGACTTACAAACCGAAATCAAATGCTTGTGCGTCTGGACTAGAGAGTTCAAGAGCTAAGTTGAGGAGTTGCTGGTTATGCTTGTGCGTCGTCTGGACTGGAGAAGAAGAGCAGACCGCCTTCACTGCCTTCCACTGCCTTCTCCTAATCACAGCTCCAATCAAAGAGGGAGAGAGAGTACTGTGTGTCGACTGAAATAAACAAATAATANTCCGATAATAAGAGCACATGGCAATAGCTACTAGATCAACTCCTTGTACAAGAACTGTTGGTCATATGATCAAGTTATGAAGATTCACAGTCATGTCTATCCATTAATAAACAACCAATTAAGATAAACCGTAATCCATTCGATTTAGAACTCAATACCAATAACAACAATAAATTTGTATTTAAATATTTCTTAATCTGAAAAAAACCTTAATCCCAAAAAAAAAAACCTAATTCAAATTAGAAACTAATACCTAATAACAACAAAAATTTGCATTTTCTAACATTTCGTAATTTGAAAAAAACCTTAATTTGGATAAATCCTAATCCTTAACAAAACCCTAATTCGAATCAAAACCCAATACCCAATAATAAAAATAAATTTGTATTTTCTAACATTTCATAATTTGAAAAAAACCCTAATTTGGATAAGACCCTAATCCTTAAAAAAAAACCCTAATTCAAATTAGAACCCAATACCTGATAACAACGAAAAATTAGTTAAAAAATGTGCAGCCAACAACAAATGAATATAAAGGAGTGCAAACCTAATCAGTCTTTGATTCATAGAGCTTCTTTAGTCTTTTCGATTTACAGAGGTTCTTCAACGTCATCGCTTCACGAATCTTCTATATTTTTTCAAAACCTTTTTACCCATATTAGGGAGGGGTGTGAAAGGCAGTGATCATGCTCACCAAACAAATGGTTTAAAAGAGCTTTGGCTCTAAGTTTTTGTGGGAATGAGAATGAGCTTTGGCGCAAAGTGTCGGTGGGAAACAAAATTGCAGAAGGTGTCATTGAATATATGAATAATTATAGAGCGTGCGAATTAAATTTACTTATGACGAATGTCATAGTATAATATATAAAAGAGAAAAGTTATATAAAATAAGTTAATTTAATTTAACTTAATTTATTAATCTAAATATATGATAACTATTGAATCGAGAGTAAGACCAACTAAATAGTACAATTTAAGTTAAAAAATTAATAATAAAATTTAATTATTAGTGGAGCCCACTATCAATTATCAATACTATAGAGTTTAAGTATCATTGTTCAACTCTCCTACGTGGGTCGTCTATATGTACAAACTCGCACGGATACTACTGAGCTTTNTGATAACTATTGAATCGAGAGTAAGACCAACTAAATAGTACAATTTAAGTTAAAAAATTAATAATAAAATTTAATTATTAGTGGAGCCCACTATCAATTATCAATACTATAGAGTTTAAGTATCATTGCTCAACTCTCCTACATGGGTCGTCTATACGTACAAACTCGCACGGATACTACTGAGCTTTTGGGATTTGTCTAATTAATTTCGGGAGAACGAGAGAATCAAAAGACTGTTAACTTGTGATAGGAAAGAAAGAGAGCGCACATAATAAGGTTCGTTTGATGGAAAATATGAAAATTTATTTGCCTTATATTTTTCCTTCTTTGTCATGTTGGTTTGATCTGTGATTTTTTTTATTTATGGATCTCAGGGTCTAATACACTCTCTCTCTCTCTCTCTCTCTCTCTCTCTCTCTCTCTCTCTCTCTCTCTCTCTCTCTACCAGCCCCTGAACCCACAACTTGGGGGTCAGAAATTCAGAACCACAACCACCAAGCTAGAAGGAAGGCCGGTATTAGGGTCCAATACATTAAAACCCTCTTCCTCATATTTTGTCATTGCAGAGACTACAGGTTTGTGATTCACATTGAAGCTATAGAATTTGTACAATGGTATGAACTCTTTCTTTTTTCTTTTTCTATTTTTTGTCTCATTAATTTTTTTTTCATAAGGCCCAAATATAATTTTTAGACCTATCATTTTAATTTTATTTTTAGGGTATTAACTTTGAATTCTGTTTGCTAATATATGGCTGTTTTTCTTTGTGTTTGATATTTTTTTTAAAGTTGTTAATTCTCTTTTTGGGCATTAATTTGTGTTATTAATATTAATTTGACTTGTTTTTGCTAAAATATGTCTATTTTTCTTTGTTGGTGTTAATATTTGTGGATTATAAGCGTAGATAATTTGGTATTTTGTCCTTACTACTTGTTAATGTTTTTTTATGAAGCTTGAACTGTTACATTTGTGAGGGTAGCGATTGGCCTAATGACTACTATCTCGCTGTTGGACTTTAAAGTTGTGGAAATGTACATCGTCCCCTCCGCCGTCAGTGTCCGACCAAAAAAAAAACTGTTACGTTTGCGACAGTGACCACTGTCCTATCTTGAAAAATCTTTGCCACTACAAAAGGCTTTACAGTTGGTAGTTTGAGTAACCTGTGGAAGAAAAAAATGGATTTAGGTAGTCGGATCAGAGATCATCGGGTTCAAATACTATCTGCATCTTGATAAGGGGGGGTGTATGGGCAGGGGAGGGCTACTCCCTTGTCTAGCCCAGTTGGTGGACGAAAAAGTGTTGCATTTACAAACAATAGGTCGTGAAATGTCGAATTTGTAATCTTATATATGATGGCATAAATGTTCCTCTTGGCTTGTTGCAAACGTGGCATTTAGAGGAATTTGATGTTTCAGGGTGAAACAAAGCTGCCGGGACAATTGTGTGGCATTGTGGTGGCTGAAGTAATACAATGATTGTTTTTAATTATACGGATTTTGGGAATCCAAGTGATTGCCCGCGTTGTTGCAACTAACAATGGTGACTTTCCAGACAATCTTATTGCTTTGACTTAGGTTCCACTTCTGGATTAGCAGTGTGAGCTCTTGGGTTTTAATAGTTTATCTAATCAGTGTGTTGAAAGTGGAGCTATCTCAGCAAGCCCATAAAGGGATTTCAAAATTAGCCTTCTCATGGACATATCATACTGAACAAATTTTCTAAACTTCCCCTTGATCAGAGATAGAGAGAGAGAGAGACTTACATGCATGCAATCATATACATCTGAGAATGAGAGACTTTTTGAATGAATAGATCAGGAAAACTCGATTAGAATTTGATTATGGAAGCCATGCATTTNTCTCTCTCTCTCTCTCTCTCTCTCTCTCTCTCTCTCTCTCTCTCTCTCTCTACCAGCCCCTGAACCCACAACTTGGGGGTCAGAAATTCAGAACCACAACCACCAAGCTAGAAGGAAGGCCGGTATTAGGGTCCAATACATTAAAACCCTCTTCCTCATATTTTGTCATTGCAGAGACTACAGGTTTGTGATTCACATTGAAGATATAGAATTTGTACAATGGTATGAACTCTTTCTTTTTTCTTTTTCTATTTTTTGTCTCATTAATTTTTTTTTCATAAGGCCCAAATATAATTTTTAGACCTATCATTTTAATTTTATTTTTAGGGTATTAACTTTGAATTCTGTTTGCTAATATATGGCTGTTTTTCTTTGTGTTTGATATTTTTTTTAAAGTTGTTAATTCTCTTTTTGGGCATTAATTTGTGTTATTAATATTAATTTGACTTGTTTTTGCTAAAATATGTCTATTTTTCTTTGTTGGTGTTAATATTTGTGGATTATAAGCGTAGATAATTTGGTATTTTGTCCTTACTACTTGTTAATGTTTTTTTATGAAGCTTGAACTGTTACATTTGTGAGGGTAGCGATTGGCCTAATGACTACTATCTCGCTGTTGGACTTTAAAGTTGTGGAAATGTACATCGTCCCCTCCGCCGTCAGTGTCCGACCAAAAAAAAAACTGTTACGTTTGCGACAGTGACCACTGTCCTATCTTGAAAAATCTTTGCCACTACAAAAGGCTTTACAGTTGGTAGTTTGAGTAACCTGTGGAAGAAAAAAATGGATTTAGGTAGTCGGATCAGAGATCATCGGGTTCAAATACTATCTGCATCTTGATAAGGGGGGGTGTATGGGCAGGGGAGGGCTACTCCCTTGTCTAGCCCAGTTGGTGGACGAAAAAGTGTTGCATTTACAAACAATAGGTCGTGAAATGTCGAATTTGTAATCTTGTATATGATGGCATAAATGTTCCTCTTGGCTTGTTGCAAACGTGGCATTTAGAGGAATTTGATGTTTCAGGGTGAAACAAAGCTGCCGGGACAATTGTGTGGCATTGTGGTGGCTGAAGTAATACAATGATTGTTTTTAATTATACGGATTTTGGGAATCCAAGTGATTGCCCGCGTTGTTGCAACTAACAATGGTGACTTTCCAGACAATCTTATTGCTTTGACTTAGGTTCCACTTCTGGATTAGCAGTGTGAGCTCTTGGGTTTTAATAGTTTATCTAATCAGTGTGTTGAAAGTGGAGCTATCTCAGCAAGCCCATAAAGGGATTTCAAAATTAGCCTTCTCATGGACATATCATACTGAACAAATTTTCTAAACTTCCCCTTGATCAGAGATAGAGAGAGAGAGAGACTTACATGCATGCAATCATATACATCTGAGAATGAGAGACTTTTTGAATGAATAGATCAGGAAAACTCGATTAGAATTTGATTATGGAAGCCATGCATTTAGTTGTTTGAATTAAATCGGAGAGACGTGATTTCATCTCTTTTGATGAATGTGAACCAGGTAAATTGACCGAAGTTCAAACTTCTCGTGAAAGTGGACTTCATAAAATCGCTATGATGTGTTATTTATCCTTTTCGGGCATGTTTATTTTTAGTATAAAATTTAGATGATATAATGTTTTATATTTATTCTATTCCAATTCAATTGTATATTATACCCAGTGTTAAACTATAATCTCATCATCCTCTTTATTTGTTTATCATAAATATTATATGTGTAATATCTATTTAAAAAAGTCAATAATTGCGGCTAGCCAATGTAAAAGACAATTTTAAACTTTAAAAAGTCAAAAATTGCGGCTAGACTTTTATATAAGAATTGTACCAAAGGGCATTTCGGTCTTTTTAATTTATAATACCTATACCAAGAATATAATACCAACCCCTAGGTGATATTCATTAAGACTTTCTACAAGAAATTATAGTTATTGTTCATAGCGGGTCGGTATTACGACCCGAAAAATAGTACTAACTATAAAATGTCAAATAAATAACGTATAATATGGGTCTCGGTACTATTTTTATAATACNTCTATTTTTTGTCTCATTAATTTTTTTTTCATAAGGCCCAAATATAATTTTTAGACCTATCATTTTAATTTTATTTTTAGGGTATTAACTTTGAATTCTGTTTGCTAATATATGGCTGTTTTTCTTTGTGTTTGATATTTTTTTTAAAGTTGTTAATTCTCTTTTTGGGCATTAATTTGTGTTATTAATATTAATTTGACTTGTTTTTGCTAAAATATGTCTATTTTTCTTTGTTGGTGTTAATATTTGTGGATTATAAGCGTAGATAATTTGGTATTTTGTCCTTACTACTTGTTAATGTTTTTTTATGAAGCTTGAACTGTTACATTTGTGAGGGTAGCGATTGGCCTAATGACTACTATCTCGCTGTTGGACTTTAAAGTTGTGGAAATGTACATCGTCCCCTCCGCCGTCAGTGTCCGACCAAAAAAAAAACTGTTACGTTTGCGACAGTGACCACTGTCCTATCTTGAAAAATCTTTGCCACTACAAAAGGCTTTACAGTTGGTAGTTTGAGTAACCTGTGGAAGAAAAAAATGGATTTAGGTAGTCGGATCAGAGATCATCGGGTTCAAATACTATCTGCATCTTGATAAGGGGGGGTGTATGGGCAGGGGAGGGCTACTCCCTTGTCTAGCCCAGTTGGTGGACGAAAAAGTGTTGCATTTACAAACAATAGGTCGTGAAATGTCGAATTTGTAATCTTGTATATGATGGCATAAATGTTCCTCTTGGCTTGTTGCAAACGTGGCATTTAGAGGAATTTGATGTTTCAGGGTGAAACAAAGCTGCCGGGACAATTGTGTGGCATTGTGGTGGCTGAAGTAATACAATGATTGTTTTTAATTATACGGATTTTGGGAATCCAAGTGATTGCCCGCGTTGTTGCAACTAACAATGGTGACTTTCCAGACAATCTTATTGCTTTGACTTAGGTTCCACTTCTGGATTAGCAGTGTGAGCTCTTGGGTTTTAATAGTTTATCTAATCAGTGTGTTGAAAGTGGAGCTATCTCAGCAAGCCCATAAAGGGATTTCAAAATTAGCCTTCTCATGGACATATCATACTGAACAATTTTTCTAAACTTCCCCTTGATCAGAGATAGAGAGAGAGAGAGAGAGAGAGAGACTTACATGCATGCAATCATATACATCTGAGAATGAGAGACTTTTTGAATGAATAGATCAGGAAAACTCGATTAGAATTTGATTATGGAAGCCATGCATTTAGTTGTTTGAATTAAATCGGAGAGACGTGATTTCATCTCTTTTGATGAATGTGAACCAGGTAAATTGACCGAAGTTCAAACTTCTCGTGAAAGTGGACTTCATAAAATCGCTATGATGTGTTATTTATCCTTTTCGGGCATGTTTATTTTTAGTATAAAATTTAGATGATATAATGTTTTATATTTATTCTATTCCAATTCAATTGTATATTATACCCAGTGTTAAACTATAATCTCATCCTCCTCCTTATTTGTTTATCACAAATATTATCTGTGTAATACCTATTTAAAAAAATCAATAATTGCAGCTAGCCAATGTAAAAGACAATTTTAAACTTTAAAAAGTCAAAAATTGCGGCTAGACTTTTATATGAGAATTGTACCGAAGGGCATTTCAGTCTTTTTAATTTATAATACCTATACCAAGAATATAATACCAACCACTAGGTGATATTCATTAAGACTTTCTACAAGAAATTATAGTTATTTTTCATAGCGGGTCGGTATTACGACCTAAAAAATAGTACTAACTATAAAATGTCAAATAAATAACGTATAAGATGAGTCTCAGTACTATTTTTATAATATNAGCTTGTGCTTCAGTAGCTGCTGCTGCATGGGGAGGAAGGTATCTGATCAGGGCATGGCAGGCATACAAAAGTTAGACCAGTTGTACCGCGAGGGTGTCAATTTTATGATGGTGGATTTGAACAGGTCATGACTAGACGTGATGCTGCATTAATACTTGGTTTGACATGTACACAGTAGCTAAAGCTTAGTGATGAATATTAGGTGGTGAGATTGGACTAATACTCAGGTTTGGATAATGCAATGAGGTCCGGCCTTGGTGACTATGTTAATACCAACTCGATGCTATAGTGTTATCTATTGCCACATACTTGGTACTTACAAATACTATAAATTAGGTATATTAAATGAAATTTGATTGATATTTATATTCAAAATTATTAGAGTACAGTGTTTTGGTCTTTTTATATTTAATATCATACGTCAATGTATCATCCAAACAGTGTAATTGGGACAGGGCCGGCCCTAGGCCTAGGCCACTTAGTTGGCCGCCTAGTGCCCCCAGTTTTTGTAAAATTTTGGAGCCCCCAAGTAGGAGTTTTAGTCCTGGCTAAATATATTTTGAATAGGCTGATTTGAAAGAGTCCAAATTTTATTTACCTAAGAAATTGTTTCACTTGCCAGCTATTATAAATTGCTAGACTTCCTGTCAGCTATAGAAGATTGATAGACTTCTGCAACGAGGAAGATAGATATGATTAGTAATGTCTATCTCTTAACATTTCTCTCTTTCTTAGCGTCTATCTCTTAATATCTCTTTTGTCTATAATTGAGAATGCAGTAACACTATCAGCTGAAGAATCTTTTAGAATTATGTATTTTTTTATTTATAGTTGATTTAACTAGTTCTTCGATCTAGAGTAGATTTGAACAATTCAAAATATATGAAAATATTTTTGATTTTTGATTTTGTTTTAAAAAATTAAAATTCTTAGATGATGATAGTGTGAAATGTTATTGTCTTAACCTTAAAAAAAATTTGAAGCATGATTTATTTTCTGATATTTACGGTTTAAATTTATTTCAAGAACTGGTTGTATTAAGAAAAGTCTAACAATCTGAAATTAACATTTCAACAGAAAATCTAAATTATATAAAACGATTAGATTCTTTTCCAAATGCATGTATAGTTTTTAAAATATTGTTAACAATACCGGTAACAGTTGTTTTGGCAAAAAAAAAAATTTCAAAATTTAAATTAATAAAATATTATCTCCGATCAACTATTTCACAAGAAATAATAAATGGATTAGCTATATTATCCATTGAAAAAGATATATTAACAAAACTTGAATATAAAAATTTAATCAATATATTTGCATCTCAAAAAGCTAGAAAAATAGCTTTTAAATAAATATATTTTAATAATTATTGCCTATTAATAGGACCCCATTTTATATTCTCGCCTAAGAGTGTCAGATTTGTTAGGTCGCCCCCGATTTGAGATACAATGAAGTGATATACCAATTACTACCACCGGTATGAATCGGATTGGAATCAATTGTCCAGTCACACACCATTTCGTACGTNATGAAGTGATATACCAATTACCACCACCGGTATGAATCGGATTGGAATCAATTGTCCAGTCACACACCATTTCGTACGTGAACCTAACTGTCACATATGTTGATCTTCACAATTTCACATGAATAGTATAAATTTATGACAAAGTAACCCAATTGACTCACATTGACATTTTTTTTTTTTGCCTCGCTTTGGTTTCAGGGATCGAGCAGCAATGGAAAAAATCAAGGAGGCTCACAGAAGAGTGATTGTGGCTAACCATCCAGACGCTGGTGGGAGCCACTATCTTGCTTCCAAGATCAATGAAGGTAAGGAGGTATTGACCAGAAGAACGGGGGAACGAGTCAGTATTCCAAGATCATGCTATGAATGCGGAATGCTTGATGGTCTAAATGAAAATTCTGTTGGGTGAAATTATGCTCATGTCAATTCATACTTTGTAGAAAGTTGGCTTTGTTAACAATGAGCTTGTTTGAAGTTGATTTTTTTGGGTGTGAAATAGAATTTTGAAAAGTAAAATGAAAAAGTCGGAATCAAAAAAGTTCTTCGAACTGTTTGAAGTGTTTCAGAAAAAACAGACTTTTTTCTTGAAAATCTTGGATAAGTTCCATTTTTTAGCTATCCCTTAATATTGATAAAATTTGATTTTACTCAAAAAAAAAAAAAAAAACTGTTGGAAAAGCGGCCCAAGAAGGTCGGAGCCAATTGGACCAAGCTTTCTTTCCTTTGAAACCAAAAGAAATTGAGGGGTTTTCAACTAGCTACAACCAGGTCCAATATCTTGTTGTCATTTCTTTTTTGGCTTTTTGGTTTATTTTTTATTCCTTTGTTTGTGTTTTTTTTTTCATTTGTGTGTGTGTTTATTTGAGAGAAAGTTTTTTTTTTTTTTTTTTTTTTTGGGGGGGCGGGGTGTTGTTAAGGGTTGGGTAAGCTAGGTTGCTCATTTAAGGGGATTGTGTAAATAACAGGAGTTCAACCAATCCTAGAAAATGCTGGCAAGGAATATGCTCAAGTAGTGTTAAAAGAAAGAAAGAGAGTGCAACAACTCCCAAGCCCACCAAATGATCGCACACTATTTCCTCTGTTAGAGGCCGGTAATCGAGGGTGGAATTAGGATTTTTGTTTATCCTGTGCTAAGTTAAATATTCATTAGATTAACAAAATATAAATATTTTTTAATATATTATGTGGCCTAAAAATTTTGTTATTTAATTGTGGCCCAAAATTTTTTTNGACTAACAAAATACAAATGTTTTTTTCATATATTATGTGGCCCAAAAATTTTGTTTTTAACATTGGCCCAAAAATTTTGTTTTTTAATATTGGGCCAAAAATTTTATTTTTTTAATGTTGGGTCAAAAGTTTTTGTAATAGGTTTGAGTAAATTTTAATAAGTTTGGGTAGATAATATTGAGCTCAATTTTTTTTTGTTTTAAATGTGTTAAATTTTTTAATTTTTTTGGATAAATAATGTGGGCCTAATATAAATGAGAAGGACATACATAATATATTATATAAATATATAATACATATACCCTACTAATAATTTTTTTTTTTTTCAGGGGGGCACTTGCCCATCTTGGCCCAGTTGTCCCTCTGCACCTGCGTAATTCCCTCTCTGTTCCGATCAAAATAGGAATATAAAACCCTGAAAAACTTTTTCTTTCCATGATTATTGGGGCTTAAGCCTTAATGACTTTGAAAAATTAGGCTAATGATTAGTGATTTGGTGAGTTGATACTAATAGTCTTGTATGAAAGTGATAATTTTTTTTTAACGCTGGGCTTCAGCCCACCACAGACTACTAACGAATCCGTCCCGGCCAATAATGTATGGGAAGATTTTAGAGATTACTAAAAGAATTTGGTTGACTTGATCCACATTGATTGCAGATAATTCTGCATGACCAAAGTTTACATTGTAACCATGTGTTTAAACTAGGCACGGTTCGCTGCTATTGAGAGTAATGCTACATGGATTTAAAAAGTAAACTTAAAAATTAGACTTGATTATTTCAACCATTGAATAGGTAGTGAGTCCCAGCATTCATGTGAGTTCAGGGAGAATCACAAGATGTAGAATTTACACACAAAATTACAGAAATTACAACATGAAATAAAATCAAGATACTTACAATACTAGCACTAAGTGGGCTACTAGTGAAAGAGGATAGGAGAGAAACTCTTCATTTGCATCATTATGAGAGATCTCCAAATACAAAGTTTCTCTCCTATCATTTTTCACTACTAGCTCACTTAGTGCTAGTATTGTAAGTATTTTGATTTTATTTCATATTGTAATTTCTATAATTTTGTGTGTAAATTCTACGTCTTCTGATTCTCCCTAAACTCACATGAATTCTGTACTTTGTTGTATTTTGGTATCAGAGCCAAATGACGGTCTGGATAGTTACTCATGCAGTTATATTTGAGTCTTCTTACTTGTTCTAGATTTTCCAGCTTCAATTAGTAAATCAATTTTAATTTTGATTCACCCTAATCACCCAACCTTTGTCTCCCAAGAGAGAATTGTCGACCATTCCCGTTTTGTAAGTCCTTGTGCAGGTAGTTCTAGGGAAACCAGACAAGTTCTGAGGGAATATGTATGTTAGGGGGTATGTATCATGACATCAAATATTAAAATTAATTTACAAAATTAAAAAAGTTTAAATCTAGCAATGAGTAGATTATTCAGATCTAACTCTATGACTAGCTCATCTAGATCTTCATTAAGCACTATACCTAATATAGTAAATGAAGAAGAACATGAGTTTGGAGAAACAAGAATAGATTGGATCGGATGAAATATTCCAAAAGTATCCCATCGAGACATCTATAAAACTAGTTGACTCCTTAAAGCATTTAATGAAAAATTACAAGTAAAAACTACTGAACAAGTATATCCTTTTTTTTAAGGATGAACAAACTTGTCAATTGTTATGTCCCAAAACCCTTAAAAAACATAGGGAAAAAGGATTTAATTTTATTCACCTTGGGTTAGTACAAGTGACAATTAAACCATTAACCCAACAAGGAAAAAATTCAGCAGCCTTGTTAATTTTGATAGATGTCAAGTTTCTAGAATATGAACCTAGTATCATTGGCATAATGGAAACAGGTCTCCATAAAGGACTAGTTTATTTTAATTATTTTCCTGATTTTACCTTAAGTTTAGGAAGCAAAAACAATCATTTAGCTTTAACCTTAGGAATAAAACTTACAGGAAGCATCACTAAATTGGTAAAAAAAAGTGAATCAATAGTACTTATCTACAGGATTTACTATAAATGCATTATCACAAACCTGAATGTGCATGCATTACAGAAAAATCCTTTAGGAAGCACTACACTGATTCAAGCCAGTACTAGTTAATCTAATATCCAAGCTCCTAAGCAAATTCTTTTGAAGGATATAACGCTCCCAGAATCTTGGATAGTAAAAAATGACAACCATGATAAAGACAGTGAAAACACCACCATAAATGTAGAAAGCATCCACCAATTATCGGATGGCTTAGTAAGAATCTCCTATGATTCTGCAAGATCCAGTAGATCAAGCAGACCTATTCAAATTAATGAAGGAAGAAAATTTGAATCTAGTTCTAGACTCTCTAAACGAGATCAAGAAATAGATAAAGAAATTCAAAGACTTTTTAAATTAAAAGGAATTGATAATTCCTCTTCACAAATAAGTAAGCCGTGTTATACTCCACGTCAGAGTATTCCACAACCAAAACCAGAAGAAGATGATGAAGAAGAAGACTTCACCCCTTTTCCTACTGCTAGTGACCTCTAGAGTAACGTTCTGGTAAACCACCAGCTGCTCATGATTAAGAAAGAGTCTAGTACCCTATTCATGCCTAATATGAATAGATTAAAAATAGACTTTGAATCATCTGAAAATGAATCTAAAAGACATAAGTACTTTAAAAGATTCAATTCACAACAACAGATAGAGATAAGAAAACAAATGGGTTAAGCTAATGTATAAACTAGATGATAAAATCCTATTCTTTGATTATCTTGATAACTTTCATAAAGAGGTTAATGTTGTTACACAAAATATGTGGAAAATAGAAAAATCCACTATATCATCTAGTCACCCTCTAGTAGAAACCATAGTCATTAACCATGGTGGACCTGAAGTTGCCTCACCTTTCAAACTCTCCACTGATGAGTTTGAGAAAAAAATTGTTGAACAAAATAATTTTACTAACCAAAGCTTAATTACTCTAGGCAAACAGTTAGATAAAATTGAAAATAAAATTGATGAAATTAAACCAGGTACTAAATTAGAACAACCTCTAATTCACCTACCTAAACATCGTAGTAAATTAGGAGTTAAAGATAGTCAGAACATTGAGAAGATTGAAAAGCTTATTTCTAAAATGAAGCTAAAAGAATCATCTTCCAAAAAGAAAGAAGGTCCTTCTCAAGTTACTGTTATTAATCAAACTTCTAATGATTCATCAGATGATTGGTCAGTAAGTTCATCTGATTCTGAAATTAATAAATTCGAAGAACAGTTTGCTAACCAACAGATTAACAAATTGACTTTTTCAAATGTTAATCCAACCAGTTTTAGTAAAAATTGGTATACCAGACTAACACCACCTGATCTTCAATTTGAAGAAAAAAATATTAGTAATCAGTTTTCTGTTCAATCTAACAAACTCTATGAATGGAACATAGATGGTTTAAGTGAACAAGAAATCCTAAATAAAATCAACCACATGTCCATGATTATTAACAACTATGTCACAAACATTGACCAAAATGTACCTGAGATAGTTGACCTTATTGCCTCAGGATTCACTGGTATGTTACATAGTTGGTGAGACAATTATCTCACTAAGAAAATTAGAGATGAGATTAAGTACATTGTTGTCAAGGATGATGATGGTATACCTGTATTTGACCAAGCTCTTGGCCAAGGTAGACCTGATGGTATCAATACTCTCATTTATACCATTATTAAACATTTTGTTGGCACACCTAATTCCATTGAAGCGAGAATTCATGACCAACTTAGTAACCTTAGGTGCCCAACACTAAGTGACTTTAGATGGTACAAGGATTTGTTTATCTCTAGAGTCATGCTTCGCCCAGATTGCAATAAATCTTTCTGGAAAGAAAAATTTGTTAATGGCCTCCCCAATCTCTTTGCCCATAAGATTAGGGATGCACTTAGTAAAGACACAGGAATCATAGAGTATGATTCTCTTACCTATGGTAATCTTGTTAGTACCATCCAAAAGGAAGGTCTTAAAATGTGTATTGACATTAAACTTAGTAAACAATTAGCCAATGACAAGAAAAAGGCTAAATATGAAATGAAAAATTTCTGCGAACAATATGGTCTCCCTTCAGTAGCACCATCTGCCAACAGAAAACACAAAATCCATAAACCTAAT